TATATCCTCCTGATGAGTCGGTGAAACTCCGACGAAACAGTTTGTCACAGCCCCTCGTTTGTTGTCCTCTTCTCTCTCTCTGCCTATATATATATACATATATATATATATATATCCTCCTGATGAGTCGGTGAAACTCCGACGAAACAGTTTGTCACAGCCCCTCGTTTGTTGTCCTCTTCTCTCTCTCTGCCTACGGTTTACCGGGCAGTTCTATTTGTGACGATATATATATATATATTTTTTTTTTTTTTTGGGCCTGGTCGGGCAAGTGGTCCCGGGCCCAACTCTGGTAGCCTAGGTTTCTACTCTATTTTTTTTTCTTCTAAGGCTGATAACTGGAGTAAGTACTTGTGGTTTAACCTTCGAAGTTTGAATGTGACCTCGACAACAACCTGGGCTTTTTAATAAAATGCAAGGAAAATGAGCGATAGCAAACTTCAGAAACCAATCAGCATCATACACATGAGACCAGATAGTCGTGACCTCGAACCAAAAGCAGAATTGCAACACGAGTCCCACCAAATAATAGCACAGCAAAAGCTCATAAGTGACAATGTTCGAATAGTCTGATCATTATCAACAAAGAACCAATGTCAACATCCTATCTGGCGCTCTGCGCCCAGACTACAAATGGCAGATCCCATCTAGTCTATCTACAATGCCGCTGGTGACGCCAACAACTCCCCGAAGTACAAGCAGATCTCGGCCAATGTCGTTCGCCTCAAGCACCAGGTATGTCTCTCGTATCACTCACAACCTCGATCCCCACTGATGCCACGTGCACCCAAGGACCACCATGCGCCCCATCCAGCATACAGCAGCGCAGCTCGGCTATGGCTGTCTGCTCCTTCCAGCTCGCCCGTGAGCGCGTGAGAGCTGGCCAGCGTATAGCGCAGCAGCGCTTGTGCAGCATGCAGCCAATGCCCGAATGAGGAATGCGTGGGCAGGCACTTTCCTAAATGGTAATTGCCTGCCTGCTGCGTGAAGCCTGGCTGCGCTGGGCCCCTTCCCAGAAGCTTCCGGTAGGCCCAGAGAGGCTGTGCCCCAGTCCAAATGAATCAGGCCCTGGGCCTCTGGTGGTTGCCCGTGTCCAACTGCCCTCGGCCTGCGTTCGGTCCATATTGCGTATCTGGCCGAGGGCCTGCCTCAGTTACATACGGAAAAAGGCAGCCTGGGCCTGGGCGCTCTCAACCAACTGGCGCTGCGCAACTGCCTGAAATTGCCCAGCTGCGCGGTGACCCCAAAAGTAGGCCTGTAGGCCTTGGGTCGAGCCTGCCTTCAGTTAGGGCGGCCGACTGTACAGAAAATGGGGCCCAATAGGGCAAATAGAGGCCTTGGGCCTCGCATTCCCTCTTCCATACTTCGACAGTCCTCTGAGAAGTTCCATTACTCAATCTGGCGCTTTTCTTTCTGTAGTGACTTCTCATAATGAGCGATAGCTTGTTGAGCGGTCTGCATCAGTTCCTCCCGAGTGAACCGTTTGTCCTCCTTAGGATCAGTGTGATGCCTAAACCGAACGCGGTACTGCAGCTTCGGCTTAGGAGGACGTCCCCTGCCTATCGGTCTTGGAAGTGGCATTTCTCTGTGGTCCACAATGTCATCGATGTCGACCTCTCCATCCATGGTTGGGGGCAGCATTGAGCATCGCGAGGGAAACTGATCAGTTTCCTCGAATGGTGCAAGCTTAGAGGCGTGGAAAACAGGGTAAGTACGAAGATGACCAGGGATCCTAATTACATATGATGGCCCATCCCGATCCTCCCCAACAATATCAAGAACCTCCCAAGGTCCAAAGTACTGTGGCATGAGCTTGAGGGATATCCCGTGCTCCTGTCCCAGTTCTGAGGACTTGGCCCAGACTCTATCCCCTACCTGAAATGTAGAGCTGCGACGGTGCTTGTTCTCATACTCTATCATCGTCGCTTGGGCCTTGTGCATCTGTTCTACCGCTTGCTGCATCAAATGCTCATATCGATATGCAAATTCTAACATCTCGGGTGCAGCTGTCGGCTGAATCTCAGGTAGCAGGAAGTCTAGAGGCAGTCTAGGCTTAAAAGTCAGTAGCAGGCTGTTAGGACTCACCCCTGTTGCGCTGTGCACAACATTGTTGTACAGGCTCGCGATGAGAGCAAGTTTCTCTTCCCAGTCCACCTGGTTGGGCTTTATGTAGTGCCTGTTGTACTGTGCGGTTCAGCTGCTCTACTTGCCCGTTTGCCTCTAGGTGGTTCCTAGAAGTCATCTGCAGTTGTGTTCCTTGTTCTGCAGCTGCAGCCTTCCACAACTCACTAGTGAATCAGACATCCCGGTCACTTACAATGGACTTTGGAAGTCCAAAGTCTTTGACCCAGTTCTCCGTAAAACAGCTTGATCACATACTCGGTCTTAGCTGTAGTAGGCATTGCGACTAACCTAGCATACTTGTTGAACCTATCCACACTGACATAGACATATCTCATTCCGCTCTTGCTGGTGACCAGTGTGTCCATAAAATCCATAAACAGGCTCTCACTGGGCCTTTATGGAATTGGAAGGGGCTTAAGAAGCCCAAGAGGGGCCTGTGTACGTGGCTTGTCTCTCTGACACACCTGACAAGTCTCCACGTACAGCTTCGCATCTGTCATCATTGCGGGCCACCAGAACTGCTGCAACAGATTTGCTGCGGTCTTCCTATACCCAAAATGACTGGTGGCATCAGGACACTCGCCTAAAAATAAACTACGCAAAGACTCCCGACTTGGAACACACAACCGTTTATTCCCGGCCTTCTCAAGGAACAGTAGGCCATTGACCAACTCGAACTCGTCAGACGTCGATTTATCCTTCGCCTCGAGTCTGCGTATGATCTCCGACGTGAAGTTATCCTCACGATAGGCTTCCACCAAGACCGAGTAACATCGTCCGCAAGCCCAAATTTAGTGACCAGCGCACCTAGGAAGTCTGGCCTACGAGACAGCGCATCAGCAACCTGGTTGTACTCCCCCTTGATGTACTGGGGCTCAAAGTCATATTGTTCTATGACTTCGATCCATCGCTTCAGGGCATCGGAGAGTACCGGTTGAGTCTTCATCCACCTCAGGGTCTGGTGATCAGTCCTGACGTAGAAGTAGCGACCAAGGAGGTAGTGCCTCTAATGAGTTGGTGCTCTGTAAATCGGGTAGAGTTCCTTCTCATAAGTGGACTTGGCCAACTTTTGAGAGGGCATTTTTTTGGACATGTACTCTACAAGCCTCAACTTTGGCCCCTCCTGTTGTGCGAGCACGGCGCCTATGCCATATTGGCTAGCATCCGTGGTTACTATAAACGGCTAGTCAGGATCGGGCAGTTTCAAGACCTCATGGTGAGTGAGGGTATGCTTCAGATGTTTGAAAGCAGCCTCACACCTGTCTGTCCATTCCCATGGGGTGTCACGGCATGTCAGGTCAGTCAAAGGGGCGGCTGCTATGCTATAATTCTTTACAAAATTGCGGTAGTAGCTGGTAATCCCTAAGAAGGACCTCATCTCAGTCACATACTGAGGACGCGGCCAGTCACGAATGCTGGTCAGCTTCACTTCATCGGGCTTCAATCCCTCCGCGGAAATCTCATGACCCAAATACAAGATCCGGGTGCGGCCAAACTCGCACTTCTCCCGATTGATCTTGAACTTGTGTTGTCGAAGGAGACTAAGGACTTTATCCAAATGACCAACGTGCTCCTCGACAGTCCTACTGAAAATAAGTATGTCACTGAGGTACACGATGACAAACTTGTCCAGGTAGTCATGAAAGATCCGGTTCATTGCGTGTTGAAAGGTGCCAGGAGCATTGCAAAGGCCGAAAGGCATCACCACAAACTCGTACAAACCGTACCTGGTCTGAAAAGCGGGTTTGTGTTGATCCTCAGGCCATATTGCAATCCGATGGTACCCGAACTTCAGATCTGTCTTACTGAAGTACCGACACCCTTGCACTCGGTCCAACAAGTCATCGATGCGAGGTAGGTGCTCTCGGCTCTTGACAGTGATGGCATTGAGGCCCCTATAGTCAATGCACATCCTCAAAGTTCCCCCCTTCTTCGGTACAAATAAGACTGGAGATCCGTATGGGGAGACACTCGGTCGGATCCAACCCTTCTCTACGAGTTCCTTGAGCTGCCGGCGAAGCTCGTCAAGCTCGCCTGGAGAAATCCGATAGATCCTACCCTTCGGAATGCTAGACCCTGGGATAATCTTTATTGCATGGACGACCTCCCTCTCAACAACCCCTTTCGGCTCTTCAAATAGATCAGGGTACTTAGCGACTACTCCCTCTATCTCCGGCGGCATTTTGACCGGCTCGCCTGCTGCAGAGACATATACTAGATACATACCCTCCTTTGGATTTTGCTTATAAGAATTATAGAATGAGGCCGCACACATGCATCCGTAGGACTCGATCAGACTACTAACCTTCAACTTACGTAATATGGCGGTTCCCCCTCTAGGCAAAGTGTGTTTGACCACTTTTCGGTCCCAGTCAAATTGAGGCTGTGCAACTGAAAGATAGTACATACCCAACAGGATGTCCATTGGGAGATCATCGCTGACTAGGAACGGGACGCGATGTCTCAGTTCCCCACCCGCGTATGGGAAACAACACTCAACGTCTTTAAGGTAGTCGTTGACTACCATGCGCTGTTTGTTGGCACAGGTCGACTCAGGCGCTGCACTTGCCCTTGTAAGAGCAACCTCTCAACGCACGCGCGACTGATAAAATTCCACGTCGAGCAAGTGTTAGAATAGGCCCCTCTCCGACGAACATCTCACCCTTACGGGCTTTAGCCAATGCCGTCCAAGAAGCTAGCGGGTCTGGTCTAGACCACTCCTCCTCTAGCTCCTCTAAGGACTCAAACAGATTCATCTAACAGAGGCTCGATGGGTCCGGATGTGTTTGCGGGACGACGACGGAGTCAGTAGCTTGGGCCATCTCTCGAGATGGTGAGGGTGTGTCCACCACCTCGACCCTAGCAGGAACAACTACCATTCCTATTGGCCGACGTGTTTCCCGGAGCAGTGCCATAACTGTTGGCCACATTGCTACCTACGGGAGCGGAGGATCCCAACGCCTGCCCTTGTTGCGGCACTTGAACTGGTTATGGCCATATTGACCACAACGAATACAGGCCTGCCTGGTGTACCGGTCTCTCCACACGTCCTCTGTGAGACCTGCTTTCTCCCATGGAGGAGCATTAGGGTCAACTCGGCTCCTAGACCGGGAACCTCCACGACGTCAACCGGTCGCCTTGCCTTTTTGCACTGAGGCAGCGACTACTCCACCTCGTGAAACTTCTATGCTGCCCGTCTTTGAACCTACTCCCTCCTGAAAGTCGTCATCTAATTCGATGGTAGAACCATCGTTGTCGACGAACATGATGCGACCCTTTGCCGTCCAGTTAGGAGGCAATGCTTTCTTCCTTCCATCCGTCGTGGGTTGGTGCCCGTGCCCTATCTTTGCATCCAGGTCTAGGGCCTTCTTGCTAAACAAGGGAAAGTTGTGTACATTGATGTTTGCCTCACCCGCCAACTGATTCCTGAGTGGCATAGGGAGACATCTCAGGTAAGTGGTTAGCAAAACTTGGGGGTCAGAGCGCACTTCAGGTAAACAGATCAGACGCTCTACTGCGTCTGTGGCATCCCTTACTGACTTGAATGGTCTATCGCTCAATGTCAGTATCGCTTTAGTATCCTTTTGGGCCTCCCGAGGATCATGCCACCTCTCCTCCACCAACGCGGAAGTCATGTCCGTATCGCTGCAGTTGCACTAGCCCGCTTAACCATCGTGCTGCACTCCCCTCAAGATAGGAGGCAGCCACACGCACTTCCTCGTGTGGCAAGGTTAACTTGCACTTAACATAGACCGACACTGACCTCAACCATGTGTCAAGGTCTTCGCCCCTCTTGTCCCCTGAAAAGGGTTTGGGTGAGGCGATGGTCGTCCTTGGAACCCACTGTGTTTGTCCCGGTACCTGCACCACTCCGGGCTGTGGACCCTGGGGTGCAGGTTGTTGTACTAGCTGCTGTTGGGGTTGTGTGCCATGCGGCTGTGCTGACTGCGAGACAGCAGGCCGCCCAGTTACGGCAACCTGCGCTGAAGGTTGGGAATACACTTTCTGTACAGGAATCAATACACTGGGACCTGCTGAGAACCCTCCTGTTAGCGGCATACCTAGGGAAACGGCTTGGGCCGATGCTGGAGAGGCATATGGGGATACCCCAGTCACCGGTGGGACAAAAGGAGGAGGTTGTACCACGGGCCAGGCACCGGGCCCAGATGGCGATGGTGCTGACTGCGCTCGCCCAACCAGCATGGCTAGGCTCTGCAGGATGTCCTGTAAGAGCGCCATTTGGTGATCCTGCATCTCTACTACATCTAGCAAGGCCGTCCTCAGGGTCCTCACATCATCGTTCATTTTTGTCAGGTTCATCTCCTCTAACTCGCTAATATCTGCTTGTCGCCGCTGCATCCTGGCTCTTCTTCTAATCATCTTCTCTTTCTCTGCTTTTATCTCCCCTAAATCCTTCTGTAGCTGTGCCTCGCCAAGCGCTGCTTGCTGTATGGCGACCTTTTCAGGGGTCAACACTATTGGCTGGCTTGCCATAACGCAAGTGGACCGACTCAGGGTTTGTGCAATCGTTGACCCTACGGTCCCTGAGCTGCTGGCCTGGGAACTCTGCTGCGCAGCAGTTGCCATGGCTGCTGAAGCAGCGGCTTCGCTTGCGAACGCCCTGCTGGCCTCTGCTGCTCTAGTTCTCCGCTGCTGCTGTTGTCTCTCCCTAAGCTGGCAGAACAGTAACATGTCATCCTTGGGTCCTAATGCCACGTGGGCTATAGGGCAGCCATCTATGCCACATGTCATCCTTGGGTCCTAATGCAACATGTCATCCTTGGGTCCTAATGCCACATGTCATCCTTGGGTCCTAATGCCACGTTGCCCCTCATAACCCATCTACAAGCGCAGCGAGCAGACAAAGGACAAAGCAGCAAAGCATGCGTGCTCTACTCCCGGTGGGTTGGCATGGTGACCGTGACCCAGTGCTTCGTCCAGGGCCCTTCAGATAGCTCCACCCCCTCCTTCCAGATGCTCCACGTGAACAATGCCGACTCTCAAGGTTGAGCGCACTCGACTCCTCACATGAGAGGACTCTCAAGACAGAACACACATCCTCACGGTAAGAAGTGTCGAAGAGGGTAGATAAGGTTAGGTGCAACATACCTCAAAATAGCTGCCCCCAACCACAGATATTCTCACCAGATGACCTGACGCCGATTGTGATGACCAATCACTGCTTCGGCACAACCGGTAATCCGTCGTTCCACCTCAGCATCAATCGCACATCAGATAGTTCTCATCACACTGCGAACACCCACTATACACCACGTAGCCTTCTCGGTGATACCCCTCATCTCCTGGGTCGCCCTACTTGCCTTCGCCCTCTTCACTACACACTCACTACGGCCGCTCGCCTAGCAGACCGCATGCATGTACCGCATAGACAGAAGACAAGCGCCAGATGAGCGCAACATACCACAGCTCTGATACCAAATTGCAAGGAAAATGAGCGATAGCGAACTTCAGAAACCAATCAGCATCATACACATGAGACCAGATAGTCGTGACCTTGAACCAAAAGCAGAATTGCAACACGAGTCCCACCAAATAAGAGCACAGCAAATGCTCATAAGTGACAACGTTCGAATAGTCTGATCATCATCAACAAAGAACCAATGTCGACATCCTATCTGGCGCTCTATGCCCAGATTACAGATGGCAGATCCTATCTAGCCTATCTACAATGCCGCTGGTGACGTCAACAGCTCCCCGAAGTACAATCAGATCTCGGCCAATGCCGTTCGCCTCAAGCACCAGATATGTCTCTCGTATCACTCAGAACCTCAATCCCCGACTCACAGATGCCACGTGGACCCAAGGACAACCATGCGCCCCATCCAGCATACAGCAGCGCAGCTCGGCTCTGGCTGCCTGCTCCTTCCAGCTCGCCCGTGAGCGCGTGAGCGCTGGCCAACGTATAGCGCAGCAGCGCTTGNGCATACAGCAGCGCAGCTCGGCTCTGGCTGCCTGCTCCTTCCAGCTCGCCCGTGAGCGCGTGAGCGCTGGCCAACGTATAGCGCAGCAGCGCTTGCGCAGCATGCAGCCAGTGCCCGAATAAGGAATGTGTGGGCAGGCACTTTCCTAAATGGAAATTGCCTGCCTGCTGCGTGAAGCCTGGCTGCGCTGGGCCCCTGCCCAGAAGCTTCCAGTAGGCCCAGAGAGGCTGTGCCCCAGTCCAGATGAATCAGGCCCTGGGCCTCTGGTGGTTGCCCGTGTCCAACTGCCCTCGGCCTGTGTTCGGTCCATATGGCGTATCTGGCCCAGGGCCTGCCCCCGTTACATACGGAAAAAGGCAGCCTGGGCCTGGGCGCTTTCAACGAACTGGCGCTGCGCAACTGCCTGAAATTGCCCAGTTGCGCGGTGACCCCAAAAGTTGGCCTGTAGGCCCTGGGTCGAGCCTGCCTTCACTTCGGGCGGCCGACTGTACAGAAAATATAGCCCAATAGGGCAGATCGAGGCCTTGGGCCTCGCAAAAATATAAACTGAAGTTAGTCAACTATAATAAAGTAAAATATTTAAATGTATATATATTATATATATTTGTGACGATATATATATATCTATATAGATGAGTCGGTGAAACTCCGACGAAACAGTTTGTCACAGCCCCTCGTTTGTTGTCCTCTTCTCTCTCTCTGCCTACGGTTTACCGGGCAGTTCTGTTTGTGACGATATA